GAACCTCATCGCCATAACTGACGAGAATGTGACTTGCTGGTGTGAAGCTTCGCAAAGGCAAAAACAAGTTCAAAATCGAAAAGGACATCTGACAGGGAGTCGCAGTATCACTGAAGTTATTCACAGTAGCCCTTTAAGAGCTTTTCAAGACACTCTGTTGGAAAAATTAGAGGCTGAATGTCAACTGGCACTACTTAAGCCTCCTGTAGTATACGGAAGATATTCTGATCCTTTCAAAATCACCAGAAAAATTCCAGAGAAAAATCCAAGAGCTGAATGACATGCATTAGGGCAGAATTGAAAATGAACCTTAAGTATAAGGCCATGTTTAATACATGTGATCTATCGAAGCCAAAGAACTTAAGTTTGAAAAGATGTAAAACGGCGTCGATTTGGGACAGCTCAGACTCAGGACAGATGAAGAATCGACAGTGTGACATCAACAGAAAAACACGATGGCATGGGATACTTTTGTAAAACGGGAAATATTCTTAGAGAAATTTCTTTGAGTTTGAAACGGAGAATCTTCCCCCAAGTTTTTGCTTCGAGTAAAAAATCATCAGCGCAAAACGTGAACCCTAAAGCTGAAAGCTATTCATATACTATAGACCGCGCAAAACAGCACTGAAAGGTTTATGTAAAGAATAAAAAACAAGAAAAAACGAACGAATGGATAAAAGTACAAACATGAGTCTGCGATGTCATTGCAGGAGTGAAAAGGTTAATGGCAATGGGCAGGATAACAAGAACCGACTATCGCCGCATCAGTGAGACATTAGACTGAATTTCAAAAGAGGGTAAGCGTCCCGTAAGGAGCCCTGTAGCTCGATGGCAAAATGAAATGAAGAAGTTCGCTGGATCAAAATGAATAGAAAGGCAAAAAAGCAGAAGTCCATGGTAAAGTCATGGAGATGAGTTCATTCGACAATCTATGGTAATGATACCAAAGAACATGGCTACAAACTTGGAAATTAATGAACGTCTTAATCTATTAATGATCACAAAAACATTAGAGC